TCTCCTTTGCTGCTCCTCATGAGCTCTCCTCTGCTGCTCCTCCAGTGCAGCTCTCCTTTGCTGCTCCTCTTGAGCTGCTCTCTCCTCCTCTTGCTGTTTCGCCCTCCTCCTCTCCTCATTCTCTTTCATATGCTCTTCCTCCTCTCTCAGTTTCACCCTCTTCTCCTCCTCAATCTTTATTCTCCTCTTCTCCTCCATTTCTTTCACTCTCCTTTCTTCTTCTCTTTGCTTTGCTCTCATCTCTTCTTCTTTTTGAGCAGCTCTCTCTTCCTCTGCCTGTTTTGCTTTTCTTTCTTCCTCTGCTCTTCGCTCTGCTTCTCTCTGTTTTTCACGCCTCTCCTTGATCCTAACAGCTATGTCCTCCCGCTCTCTTGCTCTCCTCTCCTCTTCTCTCCGAGCGGCTCTCCTCTCTTCTTCAGCCAGAGAAGCTCTACTCTCCTCTATAATGTGTTTTATTTTCATGTCTTCTGCTCTTTTCTCCACTTCTGTCCCAGAAGCTCTGCTCTGCTTCGCTGTGGTTTCTTCATGCTGAGTTGCAAGCATTTCTTGTCTCAGTTTTTCTGTCCTCGCTTCCCCAATCTTTGCAGTTTGTTTGCGTTCCTCTATGTTGTACACCTGCCCCAAGGTGGATGGTGGATGAGAGTTTTTATCCAAATATGGTATTCTTTCATCTTTAGGAGATAATTCTTCAGGTTTTTCATGTGAACTATCCAGTGGCTTTAGGTGTTGTGATACAGAAGTGTTTCTTGACCTGTTGACTGTAGAAGATGAGGTTGTTGCGTGCATGGGAGGATTGTTTGGCTGATGTTGATCTACTGGACAAACTCTTTGGGTATCAGTTCCAGCTACCTGTACACCTGTACCTGTAACTGTATGTTGTGTATGTTTTGCCCCAGTGTCCAGTACATCTTCACTGGCTTTGGCATCTAAAAGCATTTTCTCTTGTCTTTCTTTGTCTCCCAATTTGAACATCCCAGTCCTTTGATGTTCTTTTTCTGTAATGGGAAATACTAAGGGTTTGGGCTCTTTGTTCACTTTGGAGCTGACCTCTGTCTTATTTGGCAAACTTTTCTCTTTCACAGAGAGGTCTTGTGGGTCAGCAGTGAACACTGGACGCCTGCTATGACGAGTCTGTATTAGTGGAAAGAATCCTTCCTTTTTGTTGGGTGGGAACTCCTCAACGGTGTTTGCCCGGTCTTCTGAAACAATTACTTTTAACCTTGCATAATCTGCAATTGCTGATATCTCAGGTATTGTGGATGCCCTTTCTTTTGGCTTTGGTTTAACTTCAGGTTTTTCTTTAACTGTATTTTCCCTTGTTGGATGTGAATTTATTGAGGTCTGTCTTTCCCTTGCTGTGAAACTGGACTGGTTCTCTGTGTGCTGTTTTCTGTTATGAATAGCTTGACCTGCCTCTGTCTTCACATTTTTATTAGTCTGTCTCTCTGTGGGACGATCACTCTGTTTTGAAGCCAGATTATCTTTTGTTTCCCTGCTTTCCCTTTTCATGTTCTCATCTTGAACGCTTCCTGAACTTGTTTCCATTGTTTTCATTTTACTTTGATCCAATGTAAACACTTTTCCTTCATTGCACAATTCCTTGCTGATAACTGCCTTGTTTGGTTGTAATACTGGAAGTTCCCCTCCTTTTAAAACAGCATCTGACGTATCTCCAATATTTGCACTATTTTGTGGGTCAATATTTGTTTCTTCAACCCCTTGCACTTGAAAGTAATCTCCCACCATTTGTTGTATCTTTGATTCATCCACTGATTTCCCACTTTTATTTACTTTTTCAGGCTTTCCATCTTCAGTGTTCACTTTTTCTTCACGACTATGTGTTGCAACTAGTTTGTGTTCATTATCGGCAATGGCACCAGAAGGGACAGTTGTAACAGGATGTCTTCCCGCCATTTTCAGGTTGTTCTTCTCAGCTTCTGCTGGCACAACTCTGATGGCAATGCTGCCTATATGGACATTGTCATCCAATTGATTATTTTCTCCAATGAGTGTCAATTTATGCGGATGTTTTGGAGAATCATGCCTGTTTTGATTCTCAATGAATTGGTTAGGACTAGTTTTGTTGACTTGTTTTGGCAATGGAGAGTCATGTCTCTTTTCCTCCGGTAGGGGTGCATTCTGACCATCGATGTTCTTGCTTTTGGAAGGATTTATGGCTGTTGTCGTATCTTCTTTCACTGGTAGGTGGGGATCGTGTTTTATCAGATTTTCAGCATCAGCTCTGTTGGAACTACTCGTGTGGTCAATTCCAGTGTTCACCATTTTAGCCATGAAGCTCTCATTGATATGTGCTGTTTGCCTTTTTGGTGCGCTTTTCTCTTCGGTGTTACTCTTAACGTCATCTTTCTTTATGCCCTTTGTTGAGTTCTCTTTTGGTGTTTTATTTGTATAGTCTTTGGTTTCTCTTGCCATCGTGTCCTGTTTGTAGAGAAGGGGTTGAGTTTCAGCCGACACTTTATTTTTAGCAGGTACAGTGACAGTGGAGTGCACACCCTTTTCAGCCTGGGGTTCCTGGAGTTGTGTTTCTCTCTGGGGTCTTGCATTTGTAGAGAGACTCGGCTGTTGGAGATTAGTTCTTTTCACAGTGACAGTCTCTGACACATTGTTCTGTCCTATATCTAGGGTTGAAGTTTCTTGCATGTTTTCAGGATGATTATTCATACCAACTTTAGTTTGATCTTTCTTCACTGTAGGAGTGTCCTGTACAACTTTGTCCTTTACCTTTACTCCTTTTACTTCCTTTGAAGATTTATTTGCTTCACTTAATTCTAGATCTGAGCTGAGATTACATGTATCTAGCTCTGAATTACTGCACTCTTTCACTTTTGCATTAATTTGTTCTTGAGTGTCGTTATTCTTCTGACCATCGTTCACAGATGGGTTTCTTTCTCGTACAATAACCATTATTCCTGTAATCTGCAAGCTGTCGTCAGCCACTGTTGTATCGTTCTGAGCAAAGACGAGATTTAGTGAAGATGCTGAGTCCTCACGAACAGCTTCATGTTTAATCTCAGCCCTTTCTGTCGTCATAGGTTTGGAGATTTCAGCTTCGACCTGAGCTGTAACTTGCGATGGATCCGCTTTTTTCTTGTTGAGATGGTCAGAGTTTGCGGCAGGATTGTCTTGAAGTCCCTCTTTCTGTTTTCCGGATTTTTCTCCATGTTCTGATTCCGGTTTTTCTTGCTTGTTCTTGGGTGTCTGCTCTTTATGTTGCATTGGTGACTTAATTCCAGACTGATTCTCATTCTTTAGATTTTCTAGCAAACCCTCATCTGTGCTCATGGTATAACTTTCTGTCTGTTTTGCTTCTCTGGGTAGTTTCGGCACATTGGTACTGCTCTTCGTGGGTTCTTTGGGAACTTGTTTCTGTGAATGGTCTACTAACTGACTGGTGGATGCTGTAGACTTAACTGGTATTGAAGCAGTGCTGGGAGGTGAAACAGACTTGATTGGTTCTGTTTGTATTCCTGAAGGCTTCATCTGGTGCTTCGGTGTATTATTACTAGACATTGTGCTTTCATGTTTTTTATGCACTTCTTGTGATGGTGGCTTCTGTCGTATGTTAATGGTCTGACTACCTGCTAGTTGCTTGGTAGACATTTTGGATGTAAACCCATCTCGTATAGCAAAACCCTTTTCTTTAATGGCTGAAATCTCCTTTTCAGCATGAGCCTTTATCTTGGAAGTCAAAATCTCTTGCTTGGTCTGAGCTCTCTCTTTATGGGACAGTGCTCTGGGAGGGTTAAAATGTGGATCTTTACCTGAACCTGCACTGTGCTCAGTTGACTTGGGTTTTCTTTCAAGTGGAGGTGGTTTAGCCAAATCAGGATCTCTTTGTTGTGAAACATCAGTGTGTTTCAGACGGTCACATTTTTCTGACTTTTCAACACAGTCATCCCTTACTTTATCAGTAGCAGTGTCAGTATTTGCTCTACCTGTACTGGTGGGTAAATAATCAGCACCAGATAATTTGAATTCTTTGGATGACTCACTGTAAACATAATGACCTTCTGCCACCTCACTGGATTTAATACTGCCTATTTCCTCATTATTTTCCGTGTTAGCTGTTGCAAATCTACTTGTAGGACTATGTTTGTCTTTTGATTTCTCATTACTATCTCTTGTCTCAACTTTATCGAGACATAAACCAGGTGTTTCATTGGCATCATTTGTAGAATAATTTCCTATAGTTGAAAGTATGTTTCTGTTTGTTGAAGTTGTATCAGTAAAACCATATTTCTCTCTAAGATAATTATACTCAGAAGTCCCTTTAATAGTTTGATCTGTACTTTGTTGATGCATTTGTGTTGCCTGGTCCTGATTTTTGTACTCTTCATTTTTACTGATATTTACCTTTAAAGGAACATCTTTCTTAATCCCATCTTCTTTTGTGAGATTTGTATTTCTGACTTTTTGCTCTCCTCTCATTTTCTCCTTTATTTTAGCCAATTCAGCTTTAGTTTTAGCTAACTCTGTCTTAACTTGCTCAACTCTATCTGGCTCACTTTTGACCTGTTGTGTCAGTGTTAGTTTTGCTGTTGGTTTAGCTGACCATTCCTGCATGTTGTCTGTTTTTGTCAGCTCTGCTTTGGCAAGCTCCACTTTGGTTTTGTTCAACTTTGCTTGCTCTGCCTTTCTTTCTTCAACTTCTTCCTCTTTGGCTTTACTCATCTGTGTTGTAGGGGGCTCTGCAATTACTTGAACTGCTTGAATTAAATCACCCTCAACAATCTTAGTCTTCTCTTGTTCTGCTTTAGCTTGTTGCT